GTATCTGTTTTATGGATTCTGTTTGTTTCCTATGTTGGGATTCCATCATGTTCCTCAGATCCTCTATTTTTTAATCTGTGTCCTCTCTAGATTTATTAATCATGTCTTGCACCATGAGCACAATCTTTACTGTTATCTGAGTAGTTATTTGTGATTTCATTTTTCCCAGATCCTCTTTTGTTGCCAGTTCAGAGAGTCAAGGTGGTTGAGTATCAGATTGTTCCATCCCGTTTCCCTTTGGGGTTGCTGTAGGTGATCCGGAAGTCTGTTTTTGAGGCTTTTTTACATGTCTTCTCATTTCCGTGTGTGGGGGGGGGTGCTTCTGGCGCCCACATCTCACCTTCTCTGCCCTGAGAACTTGTGCTGGCAGTGGGGGAGCTTCCTTTCGGGTGGTGGGACTGGCTCAGCTTCTCTGCCCTACGAGCTTGGGGTGGTGGCAGGGGAGCTTCCTTCCGGGTTCTGGGCCCTATTTCGATGATAAACAGTGTTTTCTTTCTGTATTTCTTGACCTTCCCTGTGCTCATCCAAGAATTCTTGTCACCAGTTGAGGTTTTGTCAAAGCTTTCTCAGTTGCATTCTTTTTACCAGTACAATTTTCCGTTATGATTTCCTGTCTCTTTCTACCTATCTTATTCTGTCCTACACCTCAGCCCCAGGGTGCAAGGTTAGTGATGCTGGCAACTCAGGTATGCCAGAGAAAAGCTGTAATGTGCTTTCTTTGAGTGAAAAGTTGAAAGTTCTGTGTTTGATAAGGAAAGAAAAGTACAATATGCTGAAGTTGCTAAAATCTATGGTAAGACTGGCTTTTCTGTCTGTGAAATGGGTGCTGTAGGAAAAAGAAGTGTGTGCTGGTTTTGCCTTTGCATCTAGAAGTGCAGGAGTTAAACTATAGGCCAGGTGCAGTGGTGGACACCTGTAATCTAGCACTGTGGGAGGCTTTAGCAGGAAGATCTCAAGTTCGAGGCCAGCCTGGACTACAGAACAAGACCGTGTTTCAAAACACAGACACACAAACACATTACAATGAGTGTACAGGGGTGCTTTAAAATGGAAAGGCGTTAAATTTGTGCACATAGATAGTTTGGGGTGAAACGTAGTTTCTGTAAGGTTCATTACTACCTATGGTTTTTGACATCCACTGTGGGGGTCTTCAAACATGTTCTTTATGAAAAAGGAGAACTTACTGTGAGTGGAATCTTTCAGTGAGTAAACTTGGTGCCAGGCTTTTTTGTTACTATATGTGTTGGTATTTTGTTCTGGGTTATAGTTAGATAGTCCCCCATGGGGTGGATGTATGTATATGCCATTGTTTGTTTATCCATCCATTGACAGTTGGATATTTGCCTTGTTTCCCAGTTTTTTGTTGTTATGAGATCTGAGCCAATTATAATGTTGAGTTTTTATTTCTTCCTTTAGTTTCATTAATTTTTACTTTCTGTATTTTAAAGCTTTTTCATTGGGTTGATGAATTCTTTCATCATTATGAAATGTCTCTCTCTGTCCCTGGAGAAATTTTTTGTTTTGAAGGTTGTTTTTGTTTCATATTAGCATAACTAATCCCACTTTAAAAATTTTTTTGTTGGCATGGCATGTCTTTTTCAGTTTTTAACTTCTCATCTGTGTCTTTCAATTTATGCAGGTTTTTTGTAGACATGTCCAATCATATCTTTTAATTGGCGTATGGAACATTTACATTAAATATTTTTTGTATGGTTGATTTTCACCACTTCTTTCTCAGTTTATTTTTTCAGAGTGATTAAAAATTTAATGATTTTTAAAGATAAGTTAATAAGTGAAAAGTTAATCTGAGGGTAATAAAGTTAATAAGTTAATCTGAAGTATGACTTTTAGCTTTTGTAAGTTTCTGAAGATGTTATGAGTAAAACAAGGATGTTTGTGCACATATATCTAAGTACTTAGGCAGTACAAGTATTTTCCCCCCTGTGATGCTCTGTGAGTTCAGTTTTTGTATCTCATTATAGTGTCAAGTAATATCTTTACATTCCTCTTGATTAATGTTCCATTTAATAGGAGGGGAGAAAGGGTGGATAGGGCTTGCATATATTGAGTTTATGTTTAAAACAGGTACATTTTATGGCAGCAGGATTTGTAAGGGATTTTTGTGTGAAAATAGTATTTAGACATATTTCTAAATCATATTTCCACACCCACAACCATGTAACACTTTTTCCCAATAATACTAATCATGAACCTGTTATAAATATTTCTGAAAAGGAATTATTTGAAAAGTGAAACAAAGGCACTTAAATCTGATTCTGTGCTTGAGTGAAGAAGTATGGGCACCGGTTCTGTTAAGAAAGTATCGGAGGTGGGGCCAGGATTTAGCTCAGTGGTTCTGGCGCCTGCCTCACAAGCACAAGGTCCCGAGTTCGATCCCCAGTACCCCGCCCCCCCCAAAAAGGTATTGGAGGGATAGAGTGAGTTAGGCTTAGTGAAGGGCTGTGTGGAACTACCTCCTATCAACCTGCAGCATTTTCTGAAGATGCTCGGGTGGATGGAGAGCTACAGTTGTCATTTGATGAAGGCCTAAGATATCTTACCCCCTTTCCTTAAGATAGGAGAGAGGCCAATCTATGTCACTGCTTTTCTTCACATCAGAAATCACCTGAAGTTTTGGTGTTCCAGGCAGAGACTGGTCAACAAGGGGGCAGTGAAACATTTCCTGCGTAAACGTTGTGTAGAGACATGGCTTCATGCTCCCATTTCCATGGTTTCCAGGCCCCGGTGAGGTTTCTGTGGTACTTAGTACTTTTTTTGTTGTTGTTGTTAAACATTTGACTGTTTTGTTCACAAAATATAAGAAGATACTTAGTACTTTAAAGGAAAGGTTTCATTTGTTTTGAATTTTTTCTTAGTTATGAATGTATAGGTTATCTTTGTATTTATTTTTATTTTTGGTACTGGGGATCAAACTCAGGACCTTGAGCTTGTGAGGCAGGCATGGTGCCACTGAGCTAAATCCCCTGCCCCAGGTTATCTTTTAATTGTGTAGTTTTTTGAAAAGGAAACTCTGGCAAATGCTCCACCCCTGAGGTACATCCCAGCCCTGTTAACATACACACATTCATTCATTGGTTCATTCATTCGTTCATTCATTCATTGGTACCGGGGATCAAACTTGGGACCTTGCACTTGTGAGGCAGGCAGCAGAACCACTGAGCTAAATCTCTGGCCCTAACATTTTAAATTGTGGTCCTGTGAAGTTTTGTTTTCTTTGTTCCACTTATGTGTGTCATGATTGCATATTCATGAATTTGTAGGTGATGGAGAGGTAATTGAACAAGTCATAAGCCTCCAAACCAATGACAGTGGGGAGGGAAGCCCGGAGCCCAGCATCCTGGATGGAATGATAAGGCAGTTGCAGCAGCAGCAGGATCAGAGGATGGGAGCAGATCAGGAGCCTGTTCCTGGTGGACTTCTGAATGGGGAAGAAACGCCTCGGAGAGGTAATGACCCTATGGGAGACAGGAAAGGTGCTGCATTGAAATCAGAGAGTAAGTGAAGTTGTTAGCAGGTATATGGATTGTGAAAAACTTTAAGCAGTGTGGATATATTTTTAAGCAGTATGTTTTTGCAATTTAAGTGGTAGTCCAAGGTAGGTTTGTTACTTAATAAGGTGTTGTAACAGATGGGCATTGATTTTCAAATACTATGGAAGGATGATCAGACTTTTTTATGTTTATTTAAAAATGGAGTATTTAGGGTTAGAGATTTAGCTCATTGGCACCGCACCTGCCTCACAAGCTCAAGATCCTGAGTTCAATCCCTGGTACTGGAAAACAAAAATAAAAACACAACAACAAAAAAATAGAGTGTTTACAGAATTATGTTAAATGGGAACGCATAACAAAGTAGCTTTTTTGTTTATTTTCATTACTGAGAATAGAAACCAGAATTTTGTACATGCCAGGCTAGTGCTCTACCACTGAGCTACATCCCTAACCCTTTTTTATTTTTGAAGACAGGGTCTCAGTAAGTTGCCCAAGCTGCCTTAAACTTGGAATCTTCCTGGCTCAGCCTCCTGAATAGCTGAGATTATAGGCGTGTGCCTGGTAAACAAAGCGTCTTTTAAAGGAAAACTATACTTGTAGCTTTCCCTTGTTGAAAAATTGAATTGAGTAGAGACTTAATTTTTCTTTCTGAATCGGCATTTGAAAACAATTTGTGACACTTTTTACCTTAATGTGTCATTCTGTATTTTCAGAGAACAATGCTCATTCTTACATAACCATAGTACAATGACCACACTTGACAGATTTTGCTTTTACACCACTGCTCTCTTGTTTGTAGTTTTCATTTCACTGTCCCCCCCCACTCCCCATGTTGTCCTTCATCATGGCTTTTTTTAAAAAAATTGAGGATTAGTCAATCCTGGCCTATTGTATTTAGTATGACTTTTGTTTTTAATTTGAAAAAGTTCCCTCATAGCACAGACACTTTGAAAGGGTTCAGTGCTGTTTCACAGGTTTCCTCTCAATGTGGATTGGTCTGACCATTTCCTCATAACTGGATGATCCAGGTCCACAATGCAGGCGAGCAACCTGAAAAGTGGGTGCCTGGTCCTCCGTGCATTAGAGGAGGAGACGAAAGACATTCTTGCACTCTTTTGTGCCTTGCTTTTGTCCTTTGACAGTAGATTCTAGGAGTTACTGAATGTCATTTCACATAGTTTTCTCCGTCCTTTTAAAATAGCTATGCACATGTAATTTCTTATATTTTGCTATTATAAGAAATGTTATGATTAATAAACCTTGTGCGTGTTTTCAGATTGTTGCAGAATAACAATATGACATGGGCAGTTATTTTATTTTATTATTATTATTATTCTTGGAGACAAGGTCTTGCTGTGTAGTTCTTGCTGGGCTTGAACTCAACTATGTAGCCTAGGCTAGTCTTGAACTTTTGGCAGTCCTTCTGCCTCAGCCTCCTGAGTGCTTTTATTACAGGCGTGTGCCACCATGCCTGGCTGGCAGTTAAATTTAGAATTTCATTTGTTTTTGTATTCAAAAAGCATCAGTATATTTTATTTTTTAACTTTTTATTCTTTGCGGGTGCTGGGTGTTGAACCCAGGGCCTTCTTCATGTTCAAGTAGGTGCTCTACCACAGAGCTACATCTGCAGCTCAGAATGTTTCACTGTGAATACTTGTAGGGAGGTAAAGCTCAGTGCGTGGAGCACAGACCGGTTCACGTGGTGGGGAGAGAAGAATGCAGGAGTTGTGCTCAGTCCTGTGGCCAGGGGAGCTGGCCTAGCTGGATTGGACTTGATAGGCTCCCCTAAAAGAGGAGATCGCCTTCTGCCTGTGTGGTGTTGCACCGTAGCAGAACCCTTTCACCTTATGTTCTAAGCAGAGGAGCTTAGTGCCTGGGGGACTGCCCTCGAGCCTCCTTTCCAGCCTCCACGGCTTCCACCACTCTGGGAGGTCGCCCTGGGTGCTGCACCACCTTGACAGCCACCTCTCGGCTCAGAGCTTCGCTGTCACCTGTGTTGTTGCCTCTTCACCCCCCTCACCCTGCTCTGTTCCAGGGCTGCCCCTCCATTTGTGTGAAGTCATAATAGCCACGTTGGGAGCTGCTCTGTGGCTCACTTTGGCTCCCGAGGGTCACAGTTAATGTTTTTATAACTTATCATAAAGTCACCTCGATTTGAGGCATCTGTGTTCAGTGCCAATTTTCCAAAAACACTTATATACACAGACTTGAAAAAAGCACAGGTTTTGGGACTGCAAAATATTTATTCATTATACAACTTCAGAAAGTCTAAATTGAAATGGAGTGTTTTTGTTTTTGTTTTAGAGACAAGGTCTCACTATGTGACCCAGGCTGGGCTTGAACTTGAGGTAATCCTCCTCTCTAAGTCTCCCGAGTACTGGGATTGCAGGTGTGCACCACCATGCCCACCTCAAAATCAAATTCTAACAGTTAAATGTTCAATGTTGTACTTTTTTTTTTTTTTGGTACCGGGGATCGAACTCAGGACCTTGTGCTTCTAAGGCAGGCAGCGGAACCACTGAGCTAAATCCCCAGCCCAACATTCTACTTTTTGATCTTAGTGATGTCAAGACTTTTCTTGTAGCTTTTTTCAGTAGGTCCTTTTATTTGTTTTTGGTATGTAGGAGGAATGTATGCTTGTTAAATGTGTATTAATTGGAAATTAGTTTGGCATCATTTCTTGATCATTGTTTCCTAGGCTTTAGAAGAGTAAGTTTAGACATCCAGTCCCCTCCAAATATTGGTTTGCGTCGTAGTGGACAAGTTGAAGGTGTCCGCCAGATGCACCAAAATGCTCCGAGGAGTCAGATGGCGACAGAACGGGACCTGCAGGCTTGGAAACGAAGAGTGGTTGTACCAGAGGTACCACTAGGCATATTTAGGTTTGTTTTAGAATATTTATATCGTTTCTATCTGTGAAAATAAATTCATGTGGTTACTTAACACATCTTCTACAGTGGACCCCTGACTTTCGGCCTCAATTTGTTCCCTAGGGCTGGTTGTAACTCAGGTTGGTCAGTGAAGGCTCAGGCTCCTCCACAGCCTTCACAGTCTCTCTCCTGTACACAGGCGGATCTCAGTGTCCTTAGAGAGACACTGGCCCAGGATTTCTCAGTGCACCCCACACAGGAAAGGGTGTTGAAATGTTCCTTCCAGAGATCTTTAAGGTTAAATCTGTGTTTGAGTCCATCTGGAAGCATAAGCGGCCAGCATACAGGTTGTAACTCAAGACTTTGTTCGTAAATAAAAACTAAATCTCTGGTCATTGTTCATATGTTAGGCCAGTTGAAACTCAGGGGTCCACTGTATTCCATTAGTTGTGTAAATTATCATATAAATATACTTTTAGCAGTGAGTGGGACTCTTAATTGTGATTTAAAAATCAAAATTATCATCTAACCTTCTTCCTGTCGTAAATTGTTTCATAGCCAATTTTGTTTCATCTGTACTTCTATTTTTCTCCTTTTAGTATTCTTATTTTTTATAAATGTTTTGCCATGCTGAGGATTGACCCAGGGCTCTCTACCCCTGAGCTATGTCCCAGCTCTTTTTAATTTTGTTTTGAGATAGGATCTTGGAAAGTTGTGTAGGTTGACTTCCAACTCGACATCCTCCTGTCTCAAGTCTCCCAGGTAGCTGAACTTGCAGATGTGCTTCACCACAGTCAGCTTTCTTTCAGGATTATTTTGAAAGAAATTCCAGATATTATGTCATTTTGTCTATAAGTACTTCATTATATATTTCTAAAACATAAAGAATTGTCTTAAAATATAACCTCAGTACCATTACCATACCTTAAAAACTGCTCAGTATAACTAAATATCTATGTAATGTTTAAATTTCTGACATTTAGCTTATTTCTGATAGTTTTTATTGATACTTCTTTGGCCAAGAGGAGCCTGTTTGAAACTCCTCAGTCCTTTTGAAATGATTGTAGCAGTCTTTCACAGCATCCTTGCTGTTGGCCTTGGAGAAGAGGTTACAGTTCATCTTGTACATTTTTTGATTTAGACCTAGAATCAGTCTTTTGTTTTAAGCAGCCTTGTTTGTTTTTTTTTTAGTGAGATTTATAATCTGGGCAGTAGTTGTCTTCCTGCTGACTTGTGATGTTCGATATTTGAGTTATTAAAAGGGAGGCAGTAGGGCCAGGGATTTAGCTCAGTGGTTTCGCCACCTGCTGTGCAAGCACAAGGATCGGAGTTCGATCCCTGGTACTTAAAAAAAAAAATGGAGGCAGTAAATACTTTTTCTTTGAGACACAGGGTCTTGCTGTGTTCCAGGCTGGCCTTGAACTCAAGATCCTCCTGGCCTCAGCCTCCCAGATGCTGAGATTATAGGCATGTGCCACCACGCCCAGCTTGCAAATATGTTTTTATAGTGCTGAAGAAATTCTGTCATGTTTGTGGTGTTCTGATAACTAGTATTTTAAAGAAAATTTGAAAAAATATTTCCTTCATGTGTTTAGCCAGAAGTGTTTGAATGATGAGTGATATCAGATGGTACTTAAGTGCTTCACAGTGAATTTGAGGTTTTATAGGCACAATAAAACAATGAAAAGCAGAATCTCAAATTTTGATGAAAAATACTAAAAATCACTAGTATGTACATAGTTAGTATTCTATAATTAAGCCTTATATAGGTTTCTGAATTTCATGGCCATTAAACCCAAAAGGATCATTTTGGAATACTTTTCCTTGTCAAAACTGAAGAAAGTAAGTGGGCATCAGGAGTGAACAACCTGAAGAACCCAAAGAATTGTTCCATAAACCCATAGAAATTTATTCTCTTACCTAAAGGAGGACTGGAAAGATAGTTTGAGGCTGGAGTTAGGGCTTCCCAGTTAGCCAGAGCATTAGGCGTCTGTGTTTCTAGAGCTTGGCTTCTAGCTCCTAAGTCCACCTCAAGCCTAGTATAGATGATGGGGCTCTGCCTGTCACATGCTGGCATCTGGTATACACTGGGATTGAGGCCAGAAGGAGGAAAATGAACAGAAGGCGCAAAAGGCATTTCTACTTAGGAGAACTTCCTTTGGGTAGCCACATGGCGTATTTACTCATAACTCGTACTAGAATGTTGTCATTTGGCCATATAAATGAGGAGGCCAGGTAATACAGTTTCTATTTGGGGCATCAAAGAACTTTGATAAAAATTGAGATTCTGTTTTTTCTAAGGATGAAAAGGAAAATAGATTTGGCTGTCTGCCACAATAAATTTCCACAAAGAAGAGCCTAGCTCTTTCTAGCATTATGTTCTAAAATAAAGCTTAACTGGAATTTTTTTAAGGGTGTAGTACTGGGTGTTGAACCTAGGGCCTTGTACATACTGAGTACTCTGCCACCGAGTTCTATCTCTGGTCCTCACATTAGATTTTTTTTTTTTTTTTGGTACCAGAGATCAAACTTGGGTCCTTGTTCTTGTAAGGCAGGCGGTAGAGCCACTGAGCTAAATCCCCGGCCCTCACATTAGATTTTATAAAGAAGATAATTACGTGAGATAGTAGTGATGGTATCCTTATCAGCAATCTGTGTAATGAAAGTAATGGCCGCTGGGGATTTAGCTCAGTGGTTCCGGCACCTACCTTAAAAACGCAAGGTCCCGAGCTCGATCTCTGGTACCCAAAAAAACCCAGTTAATGCAAAATTCACCATTACTTTCTTTTTTTGGTACTGGGGATCGAACTTGGAACCTTGCGCTTGTGAGGCAGGTGGTGGAACCACTGAGTTAAATCCCTGGTCCTGCAAAACTTTTTATTAGAGTTTCATTTGTTAAGGATCAAGAGAATTAAAAAATTTATTTTCTGAGTATATTATGTATGCATTGCAAAAACTGTCAGTAATAGATAAAAGTGTGAAGATAAACAATCCCTACTGTACAGAGCTCTGAGTACATAATATTGCTTCCAGTAGAGGTAATTCTCTTTGGACCTAGGTTTCAGGCAGGTTATTTATCTTGACTGAATAGTGGTAGAGATTCTGCTCATTCTAAAAGAACGGACATCTGACGTGATCCTGTCCCTTTATAATACCACTTCTCCTATGTGACCATGTCATTAGAAGTGGGATTGCACACAGTTCAAGGTGATCTTCATGAGGGCCTCCAGTGTCCTGTGCTTTACTGCTTAAGGTGATTGTGTACAGTGTTCCATTGTCAGGACAAAGGGAAGCATATGGATACGGGCTGGAGTGTCATTTGGTCGCAAAGGAAAAACCTCATTACACAGCTCCTTTAGTTCACTTTTTATAAAAGTGGTCAAAGCAACAACTTTGATGCAGGCTTGAGTCTGATTTAGAAATCCCGTGTGGGTAGGATAATGTGAGTGTGGACTGCAGAGGCACCTTGAGAAGAATGGTCTCCCTACAAACCAGCATTCGTCCTCATAGCATTTGTCCTTTTGGTATGTAGACCATGGCCAAACCTCTCTTCAGTAGGGTGTTCAAAACATGGAGCCATGTATTTTCAGTAATGTTAAAATTGGAGAAAAGGGATGGACCTTCAGTGTTTTTTCACAGAAAAGAAAAATATGTTGTACCTCTTCAGGATGGCACATCCCTTACTTTGAAATGGGTCTTAGCAAAGTCACCTTTCTTTTGTATCATGTGAATGAAATACACATCATTAGAAAGGCTAGTAACATTGCTATTTTTGTTTTCTTTAAGTTATAAAGCATGAAGTTTGAATAAGTTTGAAGAGGAGGACTCTAATTTTTTCTTAGAGAAAGGAATTGAAATCTTGAAAAATTGAGGGGACATTTTGAGTAATGCAGGAGCTCTCTTTTGAATTGGTCCTGGAGGGTTAGTCAGAATACAAATGATTTTTTGTGTTGAGTATGAAAAATGGCATCTCTTAGCTGTCTCTGAGACTTTATATTCATATTACATTTAATGGATTTATTAATTAAAAATCATAAACTTAAGATTTTTAGAATCATAATGGCTAAGTTTTGCTCTATATCAGTTTGGTAACTTATAACTGAATATTTAATTTTATAGGAGGTTAGAAGACTTTCGAATAGAGAAAGGTGAAGAGGAAAGAAATCTGTATATAATAGGAAGAAAAAGGAAGACTCTTCAGCTCTCACAAAAGGTAACTTGAATTCTTTTTCCTTAGGATTGAACTAATTTGAAATTAAGAGTTTTCTTTTTGATTTATAAAAATATTAGTAACTTTCTGCTAAAGTACAGTATTTCTTGTGTAAGGTGTTCTGTTTGGGTTTTAAGTAGTAAGACGTAACCATCGTATAACTGTTAGGAAGAGCAGTTTGAAAACGTAAGGAAAGTTGCCCGGTGCCTTACAGTGTTACAGGATTCCAGGAGTGATTGTCTCCTAAGCACTCAGGGTAAGAATGATAGGACTCCCAGCACACCAGGAACACTTCGTATCCATTCTTTCTCTGCCTTCCCAGATGGCCAGTTAGCTTCGTCTATTTCCGAAGTTTACCTAAATCATACATCTAAAAACCAGCTTTGGATGTTAAAATGGTTTGTGGTTCTCCAGAGCTCTGCTGTACTGGCTGAAATCTTACTTGTTCTTGTATAATCTCTGTTTGGATTTTCTTGTGTACTATGTGAGCACCAGTAAGATGGGATTCATTGAGATGCTCAGTGTGTGTGGGATCAGTGTTTAAAAAAAGTTACAGTGGAAAATGGTGGGACATTTTCTTTATCTTGAGATCACATTGTGAGAAGTGGCCTGTGCATGCATTGGCCTCCATGTAGCCCTGTGTAAGCTTGATTTTCTGTGCTTTTGTGTGTGAGAGTTAAGTCATTTATATCTTATTATTTAATTTTAATATAATTCAGGCTGGGCGTGGTGGCGCACACCTGTTATCCTAGCACTGGAGTAGCTGAGGCAAGAGGATTGCTGTGAGTTTGAGGCCAGCCTGGGCTGCACAGTGAGTTCAAGGACAGCCCAAAGTACATAGCAAAATCCTGTTTCTACACCCCCCACCCCACATAAAGTAATTCAGGGCATCATTATGTGCTGAAAAGAAAAAATGCTTACTGTATGAATGAATACCTAATGGTTATAGTTAGAGAACTGTTGTGTATCAAACATATCTTGAAAGTTAAATATACTAAAATAATTTTTATGGAATTAATTTTTTAAGTATTTCACCTTTGTTGTAAAAGTAAGTTTTGAATGATTTTTAAATATTTGACAACATTGCTCTTAGGTATTTATAAATTTTTAATTTTCATAGTGGTTTGATAAATTACAATTTATGTAGCCAAATACATTAATTTATTTGGCAAATGATTATAACTTTAACTGTTTTTTTTGAGACAGAGGGTCTTGCTGTGTAGTCCAGGCTGGCCCCAGCCTCTTGGCAATCCTCCTGGCTCAGCCTCCCCAGTGCTGAGATTACAGTGTGTACACCACCACGCCCGGCTGACTTTAACATTTTAAAATTTAACTTTTAACAAAACTTCATTTTTAGCTGGGTACAGTGGCACATGCCTGTAATCCCAGCACTCTGTGAGGCTGAGGCAGGAGGTTCATAGCTTCAAGCCTACTATGAGCAACTTAGCAAAATTCTGTCTCAAAATAAAAAATTACAAAGGGTAGAGAATGTAGTTCAATGTCAAGGCCCTGGGTTCAGTCCATAGTTAAATGCCTCACCCTTTGCCTTTATATATAGTCATTTTAAACTCTTTTTTTTTTTGCATCAGGAATTGAACTCAGGACCCTGTGCTTGCGAGGCAGGCGGAACCACTGAGCTAAATCCCCGGCCCTGAAAACAGTATTATTCTTAACAGTCAAAATGTGAAAAGCAGCTAGATATCCTTCAAGAATAGGTTAATAAATAGCCGGGGATTTAGCTTAGTGGTTCTGCCTGCCTCGAGAGTGCAAGGTCCTGAGTTTGATCCCTGGTACTGAAAAAAAAAAAAGAGGAAAACACTGCTTTCAGTGTTTTTGTATGTATCTCTTAGTATCCATGTGTATATTTATTTTGGGTATGTGCCTTGGAATGAGATTGTTGGGCCATGATGTTTAGCCGTAATAGTCAATGCTCACATTGCTACTTACACGTGATAAAAATCTCTGCATGGTTTCTGTTGCACTTGTTCTGTAAATTTGTACTTAATTGGTGCATGTGCATTCAGGGCCCCCCGTCTCCATACTGGATTATATCTATTTCACAGCAGTAAAGAGGTGTGCTTGCGTGCTTTAGTGCGCAGTGTGTCTCCATCACTCACTTTCTCTCCCTCTCCACCTCAGTGTGCATCAGTACTTCCTGGAGATTCCTTTTTGTCGCTTCTGCTGTTTGCTAACAGACTTTTTCCTGATTTGCTTCTAGTACCGTGTTTTTAGAAAGCTTTTTGTTTTTATATCGGGGATCGAACTCAGGGCCTCCCACTTGCCAGGCAGGCATGGTGCCCCGTCTGCTGCACTCTTAACTGTACACAGTCTGCTGTTAAAACCTGTGGAATTCTTAATTTAAGTTACTATATTTTTAGTTCTGACCTTTCATTTGGTTCTCATTTGAGTTTCAGTTTTCTGATAAAGTTCTCATTGTTTTCATTCATGGTTATTTTAAAAACAGAGGTCTGGTAATTTTATTATTTCAATATCTTGTTTCCCTTTGGACAAATTTCCATTTATGTGGATTTTTCTTAATTTTACAATCATATTTTGTTTTCTGTCTTTTTTGTTCACCGAGAGGGGAGTGCAGGGCCTCTTAAACATTAAAATCAATATTTTTCTTTTGCTCAATTTGAAAGTTTTTTTTTGTGGAACTGGAGATCGAACTCAGGACCTTGCACTTGCGAGGCAGGCATGGCGCCACTGAGCTAAATCCCTGGCCCCAGATTATTTTGTTTTGAGAAAAATATATTTAAATAATACTACCAAAAATGAAAAGTACTAACATCTGTTCATCTAAGAACTTAAAATGTGAAAATGATTATGATTATTTGAGGACTGTTTCAGATACTGCTTTGTACTGTGTATGTAGCTAGTGATGCATTCTTTAAGATCACATACTTCACCCCAGTACTGTATATGTATTTGTTTTTCTCTTCTGAGACTTACTTTCTTGTTTGTTTTGAGACAGGATTTTGCTGTGTATTCTAGGTTGGCCTTGAACTCACTGTGTACCCTAGGCTGGCCTTAAACTTGGGGCGATCCTCCTGCCTCAGCCTCCGGAGTGATGGGATTATGGGTGTGTGATACCACGCCTGGCCTCAGAGTTAATATTTTTTATTTTTATTTATTTATTTTGGTACCAGGGATCGAACTCTGGACCTTGAGCTTGTGAGGTGGGTGCCGGAACCACTGAGCTAAATCCCCAGCCCTATATTTTATTTTATTTTATTGTTTTTGGTACCAGGGATTGAACTCTGGTCCTTGTGCTTGCAAAGCAGGCGATGAAACCACTGAGCTAAATCCCCGGCCCCTCCAGCTCTATACTTTTTAAAGTTATATCCTTTTTGAGTTTTGTTACTTTACCCTACTCATGGTAACCCAGTTAACTTAGACTATGATTTCCACAAATGCAGATCCAATGTACCTCTTCTCATGTCCTTTAAAGACACTGTAAGTGGAAATACCCAGCTGGTGGGGTGGGGCGGGCCACTCTTGGAATCCCAGCAGCCTGGAGCTGAGGCAGGAGTGTATTGCTAGTCGAGGGCCACCTGGGCAACATGGTGAAACTCTTTGTCTCTGTCTCCAAAAACAGGAGAAATACCAAGCACGGGTTAGCAGTATGTAGCAAGGAACTTGCTAGAATGCCCGTTTTGTTGTGCTTATGTTTCAGGCGGATTCGGTGGTTTTGGTGTCACAGTCCAGGCAGAGGACGTGCAGACGGAAGTACCCAGCTTACGGTAGGAGCAGCACTGGCCGCCGGGAGTTATCTTCCGGAAACGAGTCTTCATGCTCTGCAAGACATGTGAGTAGAATAAAATGTTCAGGGTAATCCTAAGCGCTGAACTTGTCTTAAGTCTTCAAATCTACCCCAAATATATGTGAAAATAGAGTATTCTCCCAAAATTCAAATGAAGTCCCATGACCGGAGCTGGGAGAGGGAGTGAGGTCTTGCTGTGCTGCGTAGCCTGCCTGGCCTTGAGCTGCTCGGCAGCAGTGACCCTGCTGCCTCCTTCCTGAGTGGCTGGGCCTGTCCACACGCGGCAGCTTTGTTGAGGTGTTCTGCCCCGTACACGGATGTGATCTGGTAGTTTTGGTGTATGACGGAATTGTGTTGTCCTCATTAGCATTTAATTCCTAAACACTTTAATCACCCCTAAAAGGAACCCTGTGCTACTTTACAGTCACTTCACATTTCCTACCTCTTCCCCGCCCTCAGCAACTACAAATACACTTTCTGTACATCTGCTTATTCTGGACATTTTCATATAAATGAAATCATACATACAGTCTGATTTTGTGACTGATTTCTTTTGTGCAGCATTATGTTTTAAGGGCTGTGTGTAGCATGTATCAGTGTTCTTAGTTATTGGCTGATAGTGTGTAATTGTAAGGAAATTTACCACATTTGTTTATCCATTTATCAGATAAGAGATAATTATATATTTCCATTTTGGGGCTATTATGAATAGTGTTACTTATCAACATTCATGTTCAAGTTTTTAGTTGGACTTACGTTTTCAGCTCTTTTGTGTGTAGATACCTAGCATTTGATTTGCTGGTTTGCATGACAACTCTTTAACCTTTTGAGGACTTACCCGACTTTCCAAAGTGGCTGTACCATTTTACATTTCCACCAACAGTGTTTCAGATTCTCTTCATCCTCCTATTTGTTATTGTCTTAGTTTCTTTCTCATTGCTGGGACAAAATACCTGACAACCACAAGTTAAAGGAGCGTTTCATTTTGGCTCACAATCTGTAGAGGTTTCATTCCATAGTCAGCTGGGTCCAAGGCAGGGTGGCATGGCAGAGGGGCCTGGCAGAGGAGAACAGTTCATGGCCTGGCAGGCAGGAAGCAGCAAGCTTTCCTTTTTTATTCCATCCAGGCCACAAGCCTTTTGTTTACTGCTACCCACATCCAGGTTGAGTCTGGGCTCTTCAGTGAGTCCATCACCCACACCCAGAACTGTACTAAACCAGTCAGTGGACTAATCCATTTTCACATACCCATGATCCAGTCATTCCCCAAAGCCCCACCTATGAGCACATGAGGCTTTGGTGGACATCTAGATAGATATAAGCCATATCAGTTGCCTGTCTTTTTTTTTTTGGTACCTGGGATCAAACTCAGGACCTTGTGCTTGCTAGGCAGGGCGTACTGGCCTGCCTGTGCTTTTTATTTAAGCTATTACCCTAGTGCAGTAGTAGCGAACCTGTGGCACACAAGCTGCAATCAGCTGCTTGTATCATTGAAAGCTCTAAAAGGTTCGCCGTCACTGCCCTAATGAGTGCTAAGTGCCATCTTGCGGTTTGAACTTGCATTTCCGTAATGATTAATAAAGTTGAACATATTTTCACGTGCTTATTTAACATTAGTATATTTTTGGAGAAATATCTATTCAAATCTGTGGTCCAAGTTTGAATTTGGATTTTTGTCTTTTTATTTTAACAAATGTTCTTTATTTAGTCTAGGTATAAGTCCTTGATCGGATACTTCTAAATATTTTCTCCAGTTCTGTGGGAAATCTTTTCACTTCTTTGATATTTTCCTTTGAGCCTCAAAGTTTAAATTTGATGTACTTTTACTGCTGTATCCAAGACATCTTTGTTCTGTGTGCTTGACTTTTAATGATCATAAGATACTGGTCTTCATTTTGACTTATTTTGCAAAATCAGTATTTTTGGGAAGAGTGGTTAAAATTTAACATTAGAATGTTAGTATTTTTGATTCAGTAATGTTCTGAGGAATGAATTGCTCTATATGGCTGAACAGCTCACTTGATTCCTTTATAAAGCATTAGGATAGTAGTTAAGCATGGGGTTAGAGTTAGAACACAAATTCTTGTATGTAGGCGCGTTTCTTAGTCTTTCTGTGCCTGTGTAGTAGTATGTCCCACAGTGATGTCGTGAGAAGCAGTTTAGTTAATGTACAGTTTGAAACAGTGCCTAATATGCAGTGATGTTAGCAGCTACTATTAACATCAAAACTCTTCATTGTGATTATTTTGTTCTATGTAATTGAACTGTTTTTGCATTATTTATTTATAGTGTTCTAGACGTATTTTAACACTTAATGATTTTGTGTAATTTATGATAAACCTACCAGCCCTTTGGAGTAGTACAGAGTACTTATTACCTCTCACCATTTCCTGTATTCTATAATTTAAACTGGGGCTCTGAATGCTGGAGCTCCTTACCTTAAAGCACAGTCTCATCCATGGAGTTGTGCTTTAATATCAGCCCCTCTGGGTCAGACAGTGGGGGTTAGATAGCTCGGTGGGAAGCCACTGCTTTACAGACACTCTTTATTAGTCAGGTGTCTGGTTCCTCACACTTTCCAGGTGCTCCCAGCAGATGAGAGTGCCCACACTTGAGTTATTCTGCATCAGTGCCATTGGGCACTTCTCAAAGCATTTCTTCACATCAGCCATTGAAGATGTTTTCTGCGGTAGACTTTGTGTTGGGATTTGAAGTTGAGCACTGTAAAAGGGATTCATCTTGATGTGAATGAAATCCCTTGTGTGTATTTCTAAAATCCCTAGCCAACCAGGGCAGAGGTTTCAACTGCTCTTCCTACACTGACTGTTAGCATGTAGTCATCATTTTCCTTTTTCCTCCCTCCCTTTCTGATTTTTTACGAGGCATCCAAATTTTTTCTCATCTCTACATTCTATTTAAGGCATGTTTTCATTTCAAGCTTAAAACCCAAGACAAAATGATTACTCTGCTCATCATTTGACTTGTAGATTTAATGGAAAGAGCACTAAATTTAGAGTAGAAACCTGGTCTTTGTTGACTCTTGATCAACTTGCTGTCTCGGATTTTTAAAATCTCTGAGCCTTTTACTGTCTTTGAAGAACGGACATTATCATTGTCCTTATAGGGTCATTGTACAAATTTAGTACAAATTTCCATGAAACTTAATTGGAAAATAGCTTATATGTAACATACACCATCATTTACAGAAACATCTTTGGTTTGTTTTAACTGATGCTACACACAGCCCACACTTCTAGTAGCCTAACATGTGCTTCCCCTTATAAATGAGGAGAATGAAACCTGTGAAAGGTCTGTGTGGAATTGAAAAGGCTGGAGGCTGAATCACAAGCTCGTGGTCCGTCTTTCTAGGGTAACACTATTTCCTCTCAGGTCTGTCTCCATATGATGTGGTTATGTATGATTTTCTTTTCGATCTCAGGTATTTTCTGTTATCTCTATGCTCTTTGATGTTTTTCTTTTTCTCTGGGTGCATCTCTAAAGATTTTATAGCTTCCAGTATATGATTTAAGGAATTGAATAATAATCAAGCTGGCTAGTAACATTGTTTGGAATGAAGGTTATAGGCTTTGGGTTCAGTAGGAAGTGGTACCCTAGTGAGTACAGTACATAGTTTGAGAATAACTATTGCTTTATTCCTGTCCCGTCCCCTGAAATTCTTTGAGTTTGTCTAATATTGTAGATAGTGAGAAGGCTGCCTTTAGGAGGTATAGGACTCATTTATAAGATCATTCCTAAGGGGTTAGTGTGGTTAATAGGATTATGAGTATCAGCACGGAAATACATGAATTAGGGTGATTATTATTCAAGGCTATACAAAAATCATAGGACAAATGTATATAACAACTGCCGTAAAGGGCCAGGCTGGGTGTGGTGGTGCACACCTGTAATTTCAGCACTCTGGGAGGAGGAGCCAGGAGGTTTGCAAGTTCAAATCCAACCTGGGCAATGTAATGAAACCATCTTAAAATAAATAATAAAAGGTCCGGGGCTGTAGCTCAGTGTGAAAGCCCTGGGTTCATTCCCCATTACCACCAAAGTGGGAGAGGTCAAGCCAGAAACACATTTCATTATGCTAGGCACGCTGGCACACTGTCCTGAAAGTTTTACGTGTTGTATGACTTTATCCTTCCAGCAGGTACTTCTGCTGCTGCTTTTACAAATGAGGAAACTGAGGCAGCAGTGTGAGATTTAGGTACGCTTCCCACATTGGTATACCATGACCTCCGAGCACAGCCTCTGTCTTCCTGAAGTATCGATTCATTTGAAGATCCTAGTTTCTAAAGTATCATTCTCCAAGCTTTGCTTGGCACTAGGTGTGTGTATTGTCACTTGTGTTTCATCGCTTCTATGACTTCTCAGCTGGCAGACCTAGAGACTAAATATGTATGCACATATTGTGTGTGCGCACATGTTTATTCCTGCTATCTGTGCCTGTCACTATGACTTCACATTGATCCTCCGATTTTGATCTGCTACTGTGAAGTTTAAGCCTTATCTCTTTTGTACTTCCCTTTCTGATGGAGAGAAACCTATCTTGTGTTACCCATAGAATACTTGCTCAATTCTAGCATACACAGAATGTAAGTTCAAATCTGCTTCTCCATATCTCTAGGGCAAAGACCCTGCTATCTAGCATTGATTTGCCTTTCCTTTCCCCTCTCCTCTTTCCCTTTCCCCTTTGTCTTTTCTCTTCCCCCTTTCCCTTTTCCTCTTCCTTTTCTTCTTTTCCTTCTTTCTTTTTTGCTTTCTTTTTAGACAGGGTTTTGCTGTGTAGGCCAGGCTGGCCTCAAACTGGTGGTGGTCCTGCCTCAGCCTCTTGAGTGCTGAGGTGACAGGCCTGTGCAACCATGCCTGATGGGCTATTTTCTTCTTTCTTTCTTGTACTGAGTATAAAAAGTAATTTTAAGGTAATTTTAGGTTTTCATACAAATTGCTTGGAAACTATAAAGTACAATCCCCGGGCACTGTTTCTCCTGTTACTGACATCTCAAGTTGGTGTGGGATGTTTGCTCTGACTGTTAAACCAGTCTTGATAACATTATTTTTAACTGAATTCTACAGTTTGCATTTAAGGGTTATTGTTGGTATTGTGTAGTCCTGTGAATTTTGTCAAGATGTTAGATACCCTGAAAATTATTTATTTATTACAATTTTTTTTGAGATGACATCTTGCTGTGTAGTTCAGGCTGTCCTTGGACTTGTGATTCTTCTGCCTCAGCCTCTCCTGGTGCTGGAATCATAGGTAGGCACCACCTTGCCTGACTTGGTACAGAATAATTTCACTGCCTTAAAAAGGCTCACTGCTGCCCTTCATCCCTTTAGCCCTCCCTCTGAGTGTCTGCTAATTATTGGTCTTTCATGGTTTCCGCAGATTTCACTTCTGCAGAATGTCATAGTTGGAATACAGTGTGTAGCCTTTACAGATTGACTTCTTCTACAGAGGAATATGCATTTAAGGTTCTTCCTTGTCTTTTTGTGGGGTGGTAACTTGTTATTATCACTGAATAATATTTCATGCTGTGGATGTGGTGCAGTTTGTTCATCCGTTTACCTAGAAAAGGGCTTTTTTTTTTGCTATTGAGGATTGAATTCAGGATCTTGCGCTTGCCAGGCAGGTGCAGTGCCACTGAGTTATATTCCCGGCCCAAGAAAGGCATCTTAATTACTTCCTGGCTTTGGTAATTACTGCTGTGCACATTTGTATATAGCCTTTTTAAAAACAGTAAACTTGTTTTTCCAAATAGTTTTAGGTTCATAGCCAAATTGAGCTTTAAAGTACAGAGTATCCCCTTTGCATTCTGAACCCCACACCAGTCCCTTGCTGTTTGTGGGCTGCACTGGAGTGGGGCGGTTGTTGGCATTGGAGATCCTGCATTGCTGCATCATTATCCCTCATGTCCTCTGCTTCTGTCCACTCTCATGCAGTCTGGTCTGGACAAAGGTGGATGATGTGTTCACTATCAGGGATACACCGACCACCTGACTGAGGGTACAACGAGAAAAAGAATAAGACAAAGGTTTCTACATAAAAGGGGGGTCCAGGATGGTCAGAATGCTTGCAAGGCTAAGACTATGAGGCTCTGAATATGCCACTATTTATTGATTACACACATTGCAGGGGGCTTAAAGACAGGTGTAAGGAACAGTGCCTAAGGCACTGACGAGAGCTAGGCTTGTAGAAAGAGGAGCAGTGCATTCCTCTGAAAAGCAGGTTGTGGTTAACAAGTAATCTGTTTGCTCTCTTTAGCTAACGTTCATTCTGGGAGAATGGCTGCAATAGGAGTCAGAGTCCTCAGTTACAATGTTATCTTGCTATCAGAGTAGCACAGTGTCACCGACCACTGAGTCCTCAACTGTGACTGTTGGCATAGTCGACATGCCAGCTGAAGGTTCATTTAGAAAGACACGTAGTCCTAGGACAGACTCACAATTTAATCAATAGCTAATTCATAAGCCAGTTCAATAATATTCATAGCCTGCTTTTTGCAGATTCCAGCTGGTCCCTAACAGTTCACCGTGATGGTACCATCGCATCGGGAGGAGTTTCGCTGTCCCACACATGCTCTGTGCTCCACCTGTTTGTTCCTTCCTCTCCCCTCCTCTGATGATTACAGATGTTTTACTGTCTCCATTGATTTGCCTTTTCCAAATGTCATGTTGCTGGAGTCTCATATACTTGCAGTGTCATATAGCTTGTGGCCTTTTTAGATGACATCTTCTGTTCAGTAATACGCATTTATGCATCCTTTGTATTGTCTCATAGCTTGGTAGCTGGTTTCTTTTTAACACGTTATACTATTCCATTGTCTGAATGCAACAGTTTTTCCATTTGCCTACTGGAGGATAGCTTGGTTGCTTCTCAGTTTTGGTATTTAAGAATAAAGTTGGTAAACATCTGTGTGCTGGTTTTTTAATGGATATAATCTTGCAGCTCTTTTGGGCCAAATCAAGGAGTGTGATTGCTGGGTTGTATGATAAGCATCTGTTTAGCTTTGTAAGATACTGCCAGATTGTCTTCCAGAGTGGCTATACCATTTTCATTCCCAACAGCTATCACTGATAGTTCATGTTGACCCATATCCTTGTTAAGATGTCAGTTCTTCACGGCATCATCTTGTGTATTCAGCAAAGTCCTGATTTAAAACCCAGCAAGTTATTTTTGTGGCTATCAAGTGATTTTTAAACTGTATGTAGAGGAAAAAGACCCAGAATAACTAACATAACACTGAAGAACAAATTTGAAAGACTCACCACTACCTGGCGTTAATAGTTCCTAGAAATCTGCAGTTTTCAAGACAGTAATTTTGGTGGAAGAATAGGTAAATAGATCAGTGAAACAAGGCACAATCCAGAAACAGACTGATACAAATCTACTCAAGTGAACTTTGGCAAAGGAGCAAAGATAACTCTTGACAAAGCCTAGTTCTTGTGAATGATCTTGACATAACTGGATATCCACTTTCAAAAAAAGTGGATCTCCACATCAGTCTTTCACAAAAATTTAAAATAAAAAGATTTGGAAACGTGTAAATGTACAGTACAAACTGGGTAACTTCTAGACAATAACTAAGCATAAAATCTATGTGTTTTGGCTGTGATAATGGCTTTTTAGAGAAAAAAGACATTAAAGATATACGAAGTACTCTTAAAAACTCAGCAATAAGGAAACAACCCAGTTTCAGAATGAAAAAAATATCTAAGAGACATCTCATAAAAAAAGATGTAAATACAGTATTGCAAATAATTTATGAAAAGATAATCGTCATTATATGTTGCAGGGAATTGAAAAGTAAAACAACAGGTGTAACCATTACACACTTGTTAGAACAGCTACAGTCTAAAACCCTGAGAATATCCACATTGACTTTTATTAATGTCATCCAGAGAATGGCCTTTTATATCGCTGTCTTCCTAATAATGACAGTGTTAAATTTCTATGTTGATGGGTGCCTAGGTAAGAATATGGATATAGTAAAGAAGTTGGCCTTTTGTTTTAAGTTTATCTGATCATATTTTTATTAACTAATTACAACAGTTATTTCTTAGATGTAATATTTTTTGGGATGACTGTGTTTAGCTTCTTCTTTCTTTCTTTCTTTTTTTGACATGTTATTTCACTTACGAGAATAAGATTTTTTTGCCCCCTCACAAATTAGGAGACCTCCTGTGACCAAAGTGAAGGTTCTTGTTCTTCAGAAGAAGATGAATGGAAGAGTGATAGAAAAAGTGAAAGTTACAGTGAAAGTTCAAGGTATCTTTTTGTTTTGCTTATTTTAGGCATTTTAGTCATAATCTTGGATGAAACTGTATTTGAACAACACTCCGTACGTAATCTTAAGAGTTTGCAAATGTGGAACAAATCAACATTCAGTTTTCAATATATGTAAAAGGTGAAGAAGAGGCTGAGATGTAACTCAGTGGGAGAGAGCTTGCTTTGCATCTATGAGGTCCTGGGTTTGAATCCCAGCACTGTTTATAAAGGTTTTGCTGGGTGCAGTGGCACATGCCTGTAATCTTAGCTATGCAGGAGGATAGAAAGTGTGAGAGTAGCCTGAACATTTAATGGATCTTATCTCAAAATTAAAAAGAAAAAGAATTAAAGGTGTAGCTCAGTGGTAGAGTCTTCTGGTTTGAATCACCACTACCTCATGAGGTAGGAATGTGTTTGAATATATTGCATTAACGGCTGTTCCTATAGAAATATTCTGAGGATTTTTAGTTGACTATCATTTGACTTGGCAGTGTTAACTAATTTAGTCTCGGGCTACATTTAAAAAGAGGACTATCTAATGTGTGGTAAAGCCACTAGAATATTTAATTGTATTGCATGAGTTACCTTTTCTTTAGGTTTGGGGATCCACATTTTATCGGATCAGAATGTCAGCCTCTGTTTCTCATCTTGGTAAATGCCACTTTCTGACTCAAGGCAGAAAGTTGAATATTACTGTAATCTTTTTTTCTGTCCAGGCTGTCCATAATCATGTCTAGAAAATTCTGTCACCTAAATATCACTTAGACCATCTTAGTTTGGTTGCCTGTTTTCATTGATATTCTCTTGGTCCAAACCACAGTCATATACTCTCTGCTTTCCTTCTTGTCTTCTTTTGCTCCATTATGATTAGGAACTGGAACAGTGCTTTAGAACATAGGTATCTTCATTTTTCTTTTTAAAGTTTTCTTTTAAATGTGATAAAACACATAACATAAAAACAACATCTCAACCATTTCAAGTGTACAAGTCAGTAGTGTTAAGGGCATTCATTTTGTTTTGCAGTCTTCAGAGCCCTGTTTATCTTGCAGAACCGAAACTCTATACCTGTTAAACAATTCCTCCCCTCTCTCCCTAGCACCTGGCAGCCACTATTGTGCTTTCTCTCATCTGTACTGTCTTTTATTTCAACTTTTCTTGATTTTATATATAAAGCAAATGTTCTTACAGGGTTTTTGTTTTTTGGTACTGGGAATTTAGCCCAGGATTATTGCTCTGAGATATGTCCCCAGCCCTTATTTTTTATTTTTTATTTTTTATTTTGAGACAGGGTCTCACTAAGTTGCCCAGGCGAGGCTCAAACTCAGGATCTTCCTGCCTTAGCCTCTCAGAGTGCAGGGATTATGGGCATGTGCCACCACACCTAGCTTCTTGCAGGATTTATAAGAAGCTATTTTATAATAAGTATTTATACCTTTTAGAAATGTGTTTTTGTGTATTTGTTTTTTTGTGGGCTTTTTTGGTACTGGGGATAGAACTTAGGAGCTTGTGCTTGCGTGGCAGGCACCCGAACCACTGAGCTAAATCCCCAGCCCTGTGTATTTGTTTTTAGATGTCTTTTTTTTTTTTTTTGGGTACCGGGGATCGAATTCGGGACCTTGCACTTACGCAGCAGGCGCCGGAACCACTGAGCCAAATCCCTGCCCCTAGTGTATTTGTTTTTAAAGAGAATGAGAGGTATGGTTGAAGCTTGGCCAAAGAATGGCCCCAGTGGAGACCTTTATCATCCTTTTCTGTGTTTGGTGAAGTGAATTATGGGCCAGGGGTTAGTCCTTGATTTCTGGTTTTCTCTTTGATGCTGCTCTCTAGTCTTCTAGGGTGTGGCTAAGATTATTAGCTCCAGCTGCTTATTGGCATGGCTTTCCATTGCTGGTTCCCACGGTACCTCTCTCACACAGTCTCTTCCAGCCTGCTGGTGTGTGGCTTCTCTCAGGGTTTTGTATGATGTCTGCTGTTTCTGGAGCTTGAGCTTTAATTTTCTGGAAGGGGCTTGTTAGTTGGGTGTAGATGCTGTCTCCTGCTGGCTTTCACCTGTAGTGACTTTAGGAACAGAGATTTCTCTGCCTCATACCCATTCCTCATTTTCATTGCCAGTGAAGAGCTCTTTCTCTGCTCATGTCACGATCTTGGTCATTTCAGTCTTCTTCGGCAGCAAGGGTAGGATGTTAAAGTTAAATCTTATGGGTGCTCTCCTACTCTCTTGCTCTGTTCTTCCCTCTCCTCTCAGGGTTGTATGATGAACTTGCTATTAGTGCCTTAGATAACTTAGAACATTCTCCTTTTCCAGTGACTCCTCATCTCGATACTCTGATTGGACAGCTGATGCAGGCATCAATTTGCAGCCTCCTTTGAGAACATCATGTCGTCGACGAATTACCCGATTTTGTAGTAGTTCAGAGGATGAAATGTCGACTGAGAATTTATCTCCTCCAAAAAGACGGAGGAGAAAGAAAGAGAGTAAGCCTAAACAAGAGGTAAGAAAAAGGTGCATTTTAAAAAATAACATGTATCTACTCTTTCATAAAGGTGTTATTTGCCACATCAACTAAACAGAAATCTTTGAGAAATCAGAGCCAGCCAGCGTGCCTGCCCCACCCCTCCTTCCTCTCCTCCTTTGCTTTCTCTTTTCTCCCGGCTCCCTTCCTTTCCCCTTCCCTCCTTCTTCCTTTTCCCTTCTCTCCTGTCCTGTACTTTTTGTGGTGCTGGCAATGGAACCCATGACCATGCTAAGGGAGCGCTTTACCATGGACCGATTTCCCCCTCCTCCCCACACTTATTTCCATATTTACAGTGTTATGTCAGCAGGAGTTAAATACAAAAAGTAAACTTATTTTGGGAGGGAGGGCAGGTGAGCTGCCTGGCTCTGATTTCTCAAAGATTTTTGGTTAGTTGTTATGGAAAGCGTATTCATGTGGCTTTTGGCTTCAGCCGTGCCACATATGTCTCTCCTGAGAGTTGGATGCTTGCATGTGCTTGTAACCTGGTAGCTGACTCTTCCTAGGGGTAGTGGTCTGACAGAGTAAGCCCGGATGCCTCCTAGGGCCTATACTTAGATGGTGCCATTGTTGCTTCTGCTTTATTGTGTATGTTAGGAGTGAGCCACAAAGTCTAGCCCATGCTCAAGAGTAGATTTCATCTACACCACTAGAAGGGGAGAGGAAGATTATCAAAGAATCGAAAGGCTTAAAACCTCAAATCAAGAAGAGATTCCTTGTGATTATTAGCCTGTGATCAAATTCAGAATGGAGTCTTGGTGTAGAACAAGCTGTGTGTGGAGGAAGATTTAGGTCGGAAATTAGCCGTCTAAAGTGGGATATAAGATGAAATGTCCTTAGAAATTCTGGAAGTAGTGCTAGGATAGTGCTAGTTTGATTTGCAGTGCCTTTAGAAGTGGTACACTGCTGTCTGTGTTCAGGAACTAAACATTGAGCTGTTTTAAAAAGTGATTATTAGATGGTTGTGCCAAAAAATAGTCATTCTGAGTGCTGAAGTTTCCTTGTTTTTCAAATAGTGCATGTTGCCTCTTTGTTTTCTACAAAGCTGTGTTCTCTTTTCCTTAATAGACTTTGCAGAGGATGAGTCCAGCAGAGCTTGAACATATGGAACATTTATATGAATTTCATCCTCCAGTGTGGATAACAGACACCACACTTCGAAAGTCCCCCTTTGTTCCTCAAATGGGTGATGAGGTGAGAGTGATAAATTGTAAAAGCATGAATAGGAAACATAAAATTTACATTGCTTGTGAGCTTTCTATTTCAAATGTTTACCTCCTTTTTGTAGGTCATCTATTTTCGACAAGGCCATGAAGCTTATATTGAAGCTGTCAAAAGAAATAACATTTATGAACTGAACCCTAACAAGGAGCCATGGAGAAAAATGGATCTTAGGGTAGGTTAATGGTACTATTAAGTTACTCAGTATTAGCACATATGTAGTTCAGTTATTGATAAATCCATTAAAAAGCCTATTAGAAGTATGGTTCATTACTCTGTCTCTTGCATTTTAAAAAATATTTTGCTCTTAGCTGCCAGCTCATAAGATCTGGTGAGATGGCTGGCCAGAAGGGTAGGTGGAATTCATTTGTTACTTGTTGGCGGGGTACAAATAAATATTAACAGTGTAGAGTCTCTCAGGAAGGCACTGTGTGGCAATCCATATTATTAATCTTAAAAATACTTGTACTCAGGCCAGGGATTTAGCTCAGTGGTGTTGCCACCTGCCTCGCAAGCGCAAGGTCCCAACTTCGATCCCTGGTACCAAAAAAAAAAGAAAAGAACTTCTACTCAAGACATTTTCAAAAAAAAAAAAAAAAAAGAATATAATTAATCCAATAGTACTTTGATAATAAATGTTATGGAATCTAAAATAACAACTAAACCAATCAAACTTGAGAAAATTATTGAGATAGTTCAATGTAGATTTTTAAATCCAATCACAATCAGTGATACTGCAAAGAGTATGCAATACTTAAATTGTCCCTGAAATATCTCCAAATTTAACTTGTTATAAACTTGTCTGAATACACTTGGTATACATTTCAAGGTAAATAGATACCTAGGATCATATTAAATAACATTTATATTAGTATATTTTTAAACATTTTATTAGTACTTGTTTGTAGTACATAGAGTTTACATTGTTACTGGAGAATTCAGAAGACATGGATAGATTCCTAGATACATATAAAATACCAAAACTGAACCAAGAAGATATAAAAACCCTGAATAATCCAATAAGAGGCAATGAAATTGAAGCAGTAATGAAAAGCCTACCATCTAAGAAAAGCCAAGGTCAAAAAGATTCACTGATGAATTTTAAAATAACTTCAGGGAAGATCTAATACTAATACTCCTCAAGATCTTTAATGAAATTGAAAGTGAAGGAATACTCCCAAAGTCATAGCTGAAAGCTAGCATTACACTGATTCCAAAACTAAACAAGAATCCAACCAAAATAGAGAAGTATAGGCCAATCTCTTTTGTGAATATAAAGGCAAAAATCCTCAACAACATACTAGCAAACAGAGGGCAACCAATCATCAAAAAAAGATCATACATCATGACAAGTTATCTCGTTTTAAACTAGACTTATTTAAACAGTTTTCTGAATGGACACAACGATAGATTTTTTCATTTATGCCCAGTGTTTTCTATAATGGTAATGTCAAATACAATTTTGTCTAAGTTATTTGGAAAAGTCTGTATCTTTTACAAACACACACACACACACACACACACA